CAGACTCACTTACAGGGCAAAGGCCTTCTTGAATAAAGTGGCCACTGTCTGCTGGCAGGAGGACAGCAGAGAAAGTGAAAATTCAGCTTCCCTTGAGAGGGAGTTGCATAGCCTGAAGGCAAGCACCAAAAAGGCCCTCAGTCAGGTGGCCACTATGAACCTCTGCAGGCAGCAGTCTCAAAAGAAGGGCTTCTTTGGCCATTCTGGCTACTTTGGTAGTCATTTACAGTCCATGCTTGCTTGCTTCAAGATCTGCTTGGAGATGCGAGTTGGCACTGTGGTGCAGTGGTTCAGAGCACGTGTCTCAGACTCAGGAAATCTGGGTTCTAGTCCCTACTCATCCATGGAGCCAAATGGGTGACTTTGGGCCAGCCACAGACTCTCAGTCTAACCTACCTCACAAGGTGGTTGTTCTGGGGATAAGACTGAGAGCAGGAGGATGAGAATTATGTAAGCCAGTTTGTGCACTTTAAAGAAAAAGGCAGGGTATAAATCATATCTATATATAAATACGTAACATCTAGAGAGAAAGCTTGAAAACTGTATATAACCTTGCCCTTTCCAAGTAACTCTAGTCAACTGTATTTCATTTAAAATATAATCTACAACATGTGAATAAATTAAGTTGGTAGGCAAAATACATACATATCAAAGTCTTCCTAGCTACTCTCTTCTTTCTTTTACACAGGATAAAACTTCTTCCTGGCATTATTATTGTACTTCACTAGTGTGCCATATTTAAAGTGTTTTTAAAACACATTTACAAGTGAAGATAAACACTCCTTTTAAAAGTATATATTTGTTGAAGGTTTAAATAAACCAGGCTTGTGCCATCATTTTTTACAAGAAATATCTATACCTTCAGTTTCCTATCAAGGACAGCTTGTTTCCATGAGGGGCTTTTTGTTTGTTTATTTTTGTTTGGTGCTGTTGTTTTGCAGTTTTTCAGTGCATGAGGGAAGCATATTGTTGCAGCCTGAACATGAGCTCATGATACAGAAAAAATGGGAAATATGGGGTATTCCAGAAACTGCAACACAAGAACTAGTTTGTGACAGTGGATTATATCTAACCATGAAAACAACCGCTTTTTCCTTTCTCCCCTTGTCCCTTGCTCTCCCAAAGTCAACCTAGAGGGTTGGTGAACTCAGTGAGAAGGGAGAAATTCCTGAAATCACATGGAGCAACACTAGCATGCAGTTCATCCATCCAGTTTCAGGTAATCCCTTCACACACTCTACAATTTTCTATAGGTCTCCCAACCTGTGACTTCAGATAGATAGAACTTCACCTCCCATCAGCCCCATCCAGCATGTCCAATGATCAGGAACTCTTGGAGTGTCAGGGAGACTACACTAGAGAGGCTTTTCAGAAGGAATAGCAGGGTTGGGAAGGGAAAATTAGTTGCACAAGTTGACTTTTGTAAATACAAAGTTGAATACAACCCAGTTATTTAAATTTTAGAAATGCAGAACCAGAAGTTTGTCAAAGCAAGCCCTGAATTGTTTTAGTTAGAATTCCACAGGGCCAGACATTCCTGAGGTCCTGATTAAGGATTAAAGTTGCCCTTAATCCTATGTTCTGAACAATGGGTTAGGACTCCACTGAGGAATCCGGTGGTGGAACCCACAAATAAATAATGTTCTGACTCTAAAATCCAGTTTGAAAGCAACAATCTTGGCTTCACAAATCAGGGTTTATGAAGACAAGAATAAGCATGCAGGCCCATCTTCTCCCCCTTTGCCTCACCCTTCCCACATCAACATTAGCACTTTTAACATAGTTATGAATCCCCTTCACATAAAAATGGAGTTTCTGTTGGTTTAGTAACCCAACTTCTTCAAAATCCATGTCATATTATGCCAGAATCATTACATCCAGAACGACCCAGTGTATTTATCCTGGGCTTGGGGCAGCAGAATTTGGGTCCCTCTGTGAACCTCTTTCCCAGCATCAAAACAAACCTTACTTAGAATCCAATCTAGCAGCAACATATTCCCCATTTTTACTTTAGAGGCCCTGGTACCCATTGCAATTCTGGTATGAGGGGGGCAGTGTGGCTTAAAAGGTCCAGGTTGATCCACCTGCAGATTATATAGCAGGGATGGGCCACTTTGGGGTATGTGTGGGCACATATAAGCTCCCAGGCCTACATACAGGCCACACTCCAGCCAAATTTGGAGATGGACAAAAAGACAGTAGCAACATTGATACAAAGGCTTTTAAAAGTCTATTTTACCTTCTCTCCCATTTTTAAAAACAAAATTCCAAAAACTTTTTTGGGGAGTGTTGCTGCCATGAATTTTGGTAGCTAGCATTCCTGTACTATAATGTAAAACTTCAAACATCAAATACATGATACAAATTTAAATGAGGATCTCTTTTGGCCCTCATCCTCTTCAGTAGAAACTCTGAAGGTATCAGGTGAAAGCAGGAGCAGTTCTTCTTTCAGGGCTGATACTAAAGCAACTGAGCAGGCCAAAGTAGAACTGGCAAGGATAAGTGGAAACAAGCAGCACTCCTGCTGGAACCATCCTTGATAACAACTTGTCTGGATCCACTCATTCTTGCATGCAACAGCAATATACCTGCTCTTATATACAGGAATTTGCACACAATCAGCCTCCAGACCAATGGATAAGGTTCCTAGAAGGTAAAATAAACTGTGTGTGTGTGTGGACACAAACACTCAAGAAGCTTGAAAACATTACAAACCTACAGTAAGCAATCTGTCTTATTCTTCCCTTGAGGCCTTCTGCAGAAGCCTCAAGCATAAAAGACCAAAAAACACTACCCAAAATGAGTGGTGCCCATTAGGTTGTGGCTCATTTCTGTGATAGCCATGTTTTTATGTGAGAAGCAGCAAAGCAATCCAGGTCCACTGACTTCCAAGATACCCCTGCTAGTACAGGCAAGCCTTTAAATCATGCTGCCTAAACTCTGAAGTTAGATTAGCGGAAGATTATATGAGCAGATCCTACAACAGAGCATAAGAAGCTGCAGCTGCTGCTATTCCTCCATCCAACTTCTTAGAAAGAGAAGATAGTTTGATGCTTCAACACTCTTTTTTCACACATAGAAGGTTTATCCCAGTTAAAAAGGATCAGGCAGCAGGTGTATAAAAGACTTTAGTCCAAGCACCTGGAAGGTGTCTGCACCTCTGAGAACCAACCAGGTGCCCTCCAGATTTCTTGGACCATGACTTCCAACATGCCTGACCATTGACCATGCTAGCTTGCCATTCTGGGGGCTGAGATACAAAACACTGGAAGGGTACCAAGATGGGAAAGGCTGCAATACAGGGAACTGGGAAAGATGGATAAATATCCCAAGGCTGGTATGTGGCATCTTTCATGCTTCTTTGGCTGAACATGCTCCTGACAGTACAGAATCACAGCTGAGACATGATCATGCAGCCATGAAAGGAAGCATCCAGTAACTCCAGGTTATTAGGAATGCAGTGTTTAAATTTCACATACTTCAGAGGAAAATAAAAAGCTAAGCTTGGTGGTGTTTTTTTTCCCTTTAGTAGGATGCTGAAGGGAAAAGGCTTGTGAAGACCTGTACTAAATTTTTCTAAATCTTCTTCCTCTCAGCATGAAAAGACAGAAGATATTATCATGCTTTTGCATTCCTTTAAAAGCATTTTAAATTAATGCCAGATTTTTATGCTAGCAGAAAACCACAGAAGACAGCTGTATTGGCTAACAAAAATATCCTTTTCTTTTTCCTTCAGCCCACTGTTTTTTCAAATGAAAAAAAAAACTACTCTGAATTCAGAGCTACGTTACATTTACACCTGAACTGATACCTCCATCTCCTTTCCCTGTGGTGTGTCTAGAGCCCGTTTAAAGGTATGGGGAAATGGCTCTGACACACAAGAAGGAAATAAAGAAGACACCCCCCTGCCTTTTTAACATCCAGTCCAGTATTCATACATTTTATTTATTGCTTTACAAGTATTGCATAATTGTTATTTCAGTGTAATGTTATGCTGAATAATATTTTCACTGCATGTTTTTGGTTAGATCTGTTGTTGTATTCTTGTTCCAGAAAAGTTATGCATAAAAAGGAAACAAATATATGCAATAGGCAACAATTCCAGTTGGTTTCAGCCAACACTAGCCATCCTCTAGAAGAACTGAACCTGCACAATGGTTTTCCACTCCACCTGTACCTTTCCCCTCCAAAAATGCTCCAAAAGATTGGGGGACCCTTCAGAACAGATCTGGGAATGCACCAAGGGAGGAGAAGATAGGACATCCCACTACACCAGCAGAAATGAGCAAACTTTTGCTTATGTTCGCACTACTGTTGAATCCAATCCACTTGGGTTTACATGGCTTATGCACATTTAATTTCACTGGACTTCATTTCTGTATGTAAGGACAGAAAAATCTGTCTCTGTAGAAGAAGCTAGCATAATTTTTACTTACCAAAACTCAGATGCCACAGAACTATAAACATATTTCACCAATGCATAGGATTCCTATGAAAACTGCCCACCTAAGACTGCTTCTGGCTAGTTATTTCCCTGTGAAACTAGGAACTGACACCCCACCTGCAACATTTTCCATAAAAAATAAGCTTCGGCTACAATATAATGGAATGTCAAGCTTCCAAATGAGGCTTGTCTTCCAGAACCCCCAGCCCCGGCCACAAGGCCTGCTGCTGCCCACACATCTGCCGCCTCCTCAAGCCGAGCACGGCTGGCCTCACCCCTGCAAGGGCGCCGCGCGGTGCGGCTCTGCAGCCGGGAAGCAGCGCCCTCGTCCTCCTCCGCCCCCGTGCAGCGCTGTGCAGGTAAAGCGGCCGCCTCTGCGAGTCCGGAAGCTGCCAGCGGCGCAGCTCCCGGGCCAGCAGCGGAGGGGGCGGGGCGCGGCGAGGGCGCCTCCGGGAGCCGCAGGTGCGGCTCGGAGAAGGGGCGTGGGCGGCGGCAGGCGAGACTGGACCGGCCCGGCCCGGCCCGGCCCCCCGCCTCGTGCGCGGCGTCCTCTCACCTCGGTGGCGGGGATGTTCACCACACCTGTCGAGCGCCTCTTCTCGCGCAGCTTCCTCTTCTCGATCTGCCCCTTTCCTTTGCGGGCGCTGGGGCCCGAGGAGCCCTTGCCCTTGGCTGCCACTTTCTCCTCCTCCGGGGAAGCCGGCGCCACGCCGGGTTTGCCCGACGAGGGCTCCGCGCCTCCCGCTCTAGCCCCGGCTGGGCAGGGCGACTGGAGCTCCTTTGAAGCGCTCTTGGCCAGAGGGATGCAATTCATGTTGCTGCTGCTGTTGTTATTAACCTCGGTGGAGCTGCCGGGATTCGAGGGCACGGGCCCGCCGGCGGCGGCGGTGGGGGCTTTGCTGTCCCCTGGAGCCGTCACCAGCCCCCCCAGCGGCGGTGCTTGCTTCGCTCGCATCTTCTCCCGCTTGGCCTTCCACTCCTCCAAGAAGTCGGTGGTGGTAGTGGTAGCGCTGGCGCCGCTGCCCCGGTAGCCCCCGGTGGCCATGTTCCCAGCGAGGCAAGGTGGCTCCTGCTAACTAACTCCGGACGCGGCAGCGGCTTGCCTGGCCAAGCTGAAAGACCGGGTGGGCTGGCACTCCTAAATGGCCGGCCAAGGAGAGGCACCGACGGGGGCTGGGGAAGAGAGGTAGGGAGGACGCTCCTGCAGGAGACAAAAGGGAAGCGAGTGAAGCGGCACTCCCTGTCTCCAGGGAGTTGCTGGATGATCACCCAGGGGATAATGCAGCTCTCCTGCCGAGCGCCCCCATAGCCGAGCGTCGCCTCTTCCCGACTCCCCTCCGCCCTACATGCAACTCGGGACGCGATCCTCTTCCAACGCACTTCCACAGTTCCAGCCAGCTTCGAATAAATACAATCCTTCCCGCCGCCACCCCCTCGCCCGTCGCTTTTCTTGCAAACATTTTCTTTCGCTCTCACTTTGTAACGCACCCCCAGAACTACCCCGCACGCGGATTAAGAGCTGCCACCGCCAGATCGGCTGCCCACTTTCTCACCCTGACGAAGAAATCCGAAGGGCGTTTATGCTGTCTTACTCTACCCCTCGATGAGCTGCAAGTTCTTCTTACCAGTCTCTCGCCTATTCCTCCCGCCCCTCTGCCGTCTGCACGGCAAGCCCGGACGAAGTTGAGCATTTGCTTCAACTCGGGGCGCTGCCAGAAAATGGAAGCATTTCTGCTTCCGAGATAGGCTCGATCAGCCCCGCAGATCTTACCCGCCCGTCCTTTCCGAGGGAGAGACTGACCCGGGCAGGCGGTGGGTTCTCCAGGTGAGCGGCGAGGTGGCTGCGCGGAACTCTCCAAGCGAGTCCCGGAAGAACCGGCGGCGCTCCAGCAGCTTTCCGACTTTTTCCCATAGGGCGGAGGATAGCCAGGCGAAAAGAGCCGAAGCGGGAGCGGAAACTGCCGAGGTGCCCTGACAATGGGTGAAGGGGCGTGGAGGAGGCTCTCTAACTCTGGGTGCCTGGGTAAGGAATTCATCAGTCCCCTGCGGGAACCTGATCGTTGCAGCCCGTTCCTCCTACCGTGCCTCTGTTATCGCTTGCGGCCGCCCAGGTGACAGGAAGCTCCTCGTACCTGAGATTCGGAACAAGGAGCTAATTCCTTTGGCTCGCAGCACCCATTCCAGCTGGAGACAAGGCACGCATACAAACATTCTTTTCGCCAGCAGCACTTGATTCAAATCGGGCTGCCGGAGTTGGAGAATAATATATTTAAGCAGGTGCAAAGTCCTGTTCTAAGAAATCGGCATGGTCTACTTCGCTATAGTTTTAACTTTTACTAAACGCACAAAGCTATGCCTGTTTTAGACAGAGAAAAGGCTTCCAACTTCCAGCCTGTCCTAGCAAGCAGAGGAATGCTGGGAATTGTAGGCCTTTTTTCTGTCTAAGCAGGCATAGGAGTGTGCCCCAAGCCAATCACCAGCAGAGTGACAGGTGACATGCAAACAAAGTCTCATCCTATTGTGCTTCAAAAACCAATGTCCCCATCAGATAAAGGCAGCCTAAACTAGAGCTGTGTAAAGCACTGAGTTCCATTGGTACCTAAACCGAGGGTTTGCAATCAGCCTTAAATGTAGAAAAATGTAGCGGATGATTGTTAGAATTGAATATACTGTATTATTAAGTGCACCCAGCCTCTGTGTGGTGACATGGTTCAGGGTTCTTCTGCCCAGGGGGTCCACCATTTGGTGATGGAGCTCCTGCTTGGTGTGCAAAGCATGCCAGGATCCGTCCCCAGAGTGCCACTTCCAATCACTGTCAATATGGCTCCATGAGATAGGCCAACATCTGGAGCAACATAAAGCAGCGCCTGCTGTTCCAGTTTCCTTAGAAGAAAGTCAGTAGAGGCATCTCTGTAATCTATGTGGATCCACACACATGCAAAATGACTGTTGAGACCATTCTTGCACCCCATCACAGGTGAACAGGTATCCATAGTGCTGTAGGATTTCCCGCAAAGCTTAGACACCTCTCTTTTGCTTTTTCAGGCAGAGCTCAAACACAGATTGACTTTGCAGAAGCCTTACTTGCCCCCTTCCTCTCCTAGTGTGGAAAAGAAAGAGGAGTCATCTCTGCCCATCACTTACATTTCTTGGAGCATCCCAGCTTGCACTGAAATGCAACACCACCCTACACCTGCAAGTCCTCTAAGAGGTCCTGCTCCATGACACATACATGAATAGCAGTTATTTATAGAAATCTTGCAGTCAAGGCATAAAATCCAACATAAGTCCTTAGAACAGGCCAACTGAAACGAATGGAATTTAACTTAATAATGATTAGTCTAAGTCTTGTTCACTTCAGTGAAAGTTTTCCAGGGGTGCAGAACTGTTTTGGGGTATGGGTCAAATTGTCCTGTGCACCCCACAGGCCAGATGACATTAGCAGAAGTATTTATTTATTTATTTATATCCTGCCTTTTTTTCTTTCAAGGAACTCAAGGCAGCCAACATAATTCTTCTCCTCCTCTTATCCTCATAACAACAACAGCCCTGCGAGGTGGGTTAGGGTGAGGGTCTATGACTGGTCCAAAGTCACTCAGCTCCATAGCTGCATGAAGACTGGGACCTAGATCTCCTGACTGGCAGTCCCACTCTCTTAATCACACACTACACCACTAGCCCTCGCTCCTGGCATCACCCTCTTCTTTGAGCTGGAGAGCCGCATGCGACTGAGCCTCCTCCTAGCTTGGGAAAAGCCCAGGCTGGCCTGCATCCCCGCTGCTATCACCATTCTTAGATCAGAGAAAACCGTGGGGACAAAGAATGTTCTGAGCTGCCTAGATGGAAGAGTGCAATGGCTCACTCCAGAATGGACAAATAGGACCCAGGCATCCCAGCTACTCCTCTTAGATTAGAGATGTCAGCAGAGATGCCCTCTGAGGCAATTCCTTAATCTTTTAGCCCAATCTCTGCCCCAAAGGATGAAGCCCAAAGGTGGATTGGCCCAGATTGGGGTGTTCCATGCACTGGAATTTCTGCATTCCTGATCTTCTGTAAGTAGACCACAGGACTACATGGTTGGAATGGATTCTGAATGGAATGGATTTGCAGTCATATGGACCGGCTGTAACATATGTCTGAAAGATCATTCAGAGCAACAGGATATATATACTTTACATGCACGTACAGGACCAGCCCAAAACATTTTATCTTCTGAGCATTGTGCATTTACTCATTTATTTAATTACAAATATATAAATTATCCTGCCTTTTCTCTAAAAACAATGCTGCATGTGGCACTATCACCAAATCATGTTCCATGTTCAAGTAATTTTGGCACCTGGAGGTGAATCTCCTGCAAGCACCTTTTTGTCTCTCAGTATGAGTACTAGAAAGAAAATATAAGAACTATAAATTACAGAACTGTTTTCTACCCTTCTGTCACATTCCAATTCACTTAAGATGGCCACCTCACTCTGCCAGTGTTGTTAAGCTACCTCAGTCCTCTTCAGGGGACACATATATACGAGCTGAGAGCAGGAACAGCTGCATTTATCAAATAAAGCATTATTAAAAATATGATTTGTTAGTGGTGTGGGCTAAATGAAACAGTTGATCCAAGCCTCATACAGAAGTTTTAGAAAAAACAAATGAGATTTGGGGGCTGGGCACACATTTTTCTTGCTGCACATATAAATTGTAGCAATATTTGATAACTGTGCAGTTAACTATAACTTACAGTTTGAACAGATTATTTTTACACACCTATGGATAGAAAATACTACTAATTTCCTCCTCTTCCTCTTCCTCTATAAATTGAGAGTATTTATTTAAAAAAATCACCAAATTTCAATGAATCCACAGAACACCACGTTTCCACAGTTGAGAAAATCCTTCACAAAATGAAAGTTCAAGCAGCTACCGACTGCTTACTTGGAAGGCATGTGCCATTACAATTGTTTCATGGAGAAGTTCAGAATCTCTTTCAGCCTGAAATCTGAGTGGTATCTGGATAAGCTCTTGGAGGTTGCATTGCAGCGTGGGCTACATCAAAGGCAAAAGAGGCAGGCCCAATCATACCAGGATAGTTTAGCATAAATGTCTTGCTGCCAGTAACTAACCCTCCTGAGAGACATTTCAACCTTAGAAAATAGGGGGGAAACTACAGAAAAGCCAGGAAACCATCGATTGATCACAGGTTGGGGAAAAGGAGCTGGGCTGAAGAAAGTGGATGTGGCTATTGGGATATGCTCCTTGACTTGAGGGTCTGGTTCCTTGCTCTGGTTTACCTCCAGCATCACTACGTCTGGATCCAACTCTGTTTGTTTTTCTTTCTGCAAAATGTTATTGATGCAGGACTCCTTTAAACCCCTTATTCAGGAGTAGCTCCTGTGGCCTTTACTTGCGAAGTTATTCGTTTCCAAAAGACACTGCTTACACACAGCAGCCTAAGTGAAACAGTTGAAATGGAGAGCAGCAGTAAGTCTGAGAACAGAGAACAACACAGACACAATGCCCTGCCCCTCGACTGTGCCTGAGGGCAAGATGAACTTCAGAAAAACAGCCAGACATCTGTTCATCACAGATAATTGAGATTCCAGTCACTGGCATTCACCTGAAATGGAGAAGAGCAAAAATAAGTACAAAACAATCAGTTTGCAATACTGCAGAGACCTGTCTTCAGATTTATAATTCCTGCAACTACATTGGAATGGGTCATTGATGAGTACTTGATCCCATGGCCAGGCCGTTATATGTATGAATAAAAAGAATATTGAAACAATTTGATTTCTTTCCAGAATCCATAAGTTTAGACTTGGCTTGCTTATCACTGAGACCACCATCTACTATAATACTTGACCAGAGGGGTGGGTTGGTGGCAGCTAGTTTGCTAATGAAAATATTATGTATGTCTTTCCTTCTAATTGATTGTAAGATTTATTTAGTAAATAGCAAACTGTCTTACTCAAAAATCTACCAATGCTGAGCAACTGTTCGTGTGAAGATACTATTTCTATTTATTGATTAAAGGAACAATCCCATGACCTTCCAACATCACCTAGGAAATTTTAGGATTTTTCAGAATCTGGGCACCAAGGCTCTCCAACCTTGGTGCTTGGCCTCTGAAGACCAGGCCCCCAACACCAGCTGCCCCTCCCAAGGTGACAACTATGGGATTGCTGGCAGGAGGAGGAGACTGGGCTATGGGGCATTTCTAGTCAGCCTTCTTTCTTCTTCACCCACCCAAAATTTAGATACCTGGAAACTGCTACCTATATAAAATGCAAAGTACTTCACAGCTTGTACTGGATGCTTGCAAGCCTCTGAGTTTGGATATTTATGCACTTCTGCTGGGCTGAATGGATTGTGCCCTAAGCAGCCCATTGATTAAAAGATAGGTGATTAATCTCAAATTCAATTCATTAGTTGGTTGATACAGTGCTAAATATATTGCAACATGTAGGACAAACATGCTTTAACATTTCAATTAGACTATGGTTCCAGCTGCAATATTATCCCCATCCACCTGGTAGCTCCCAATATATTCCATTAAATGAGACTAATAGAAAATCAGTGAAAATCTATACTCAACATTTCTAACCTGAAGATAAAAAATTAGGGTACTGTTTGTGGTTGCAAATAACCAGAGCACAGAACTTCACACTTTTACTTCACTGTTAGTCTTTAAGACATTCCAAGCTATGATGCCAGGGCATCTTGACAATAAACACTAAACTGAAGAAAACAGAAGAACATAGGAAAAGCCAAGCTGGATCAAAGTCCATCCAGTCCAGCACTCCATTCACATGATGGTAAAAAACTGCCCACGGGATCCCTCAAGCAGAATAGGAACAAGAGTTCTTCCTGCCAAGCCTCCTCCACAACTAGTCTATACAAACA